GTTGGTGTTGGTGTTGTCGTTGTCGTTGTCGTTGTCGTTGCTGTTGTCGTTGCTGTTGCTGTTGCTGTTGCTGTTGCTGTTGCTGTTGCTGTTGCTGTTGCTGTTGCTGTTGCTGTTGCTGTTGCTGTTGCATGTTGCTGTTGCTGTTGCTGTTGCTGTTGCTGCTGCTGGCGTTGGTGTTGGCGCTGCTGTTGCTGCTGCTGGTGTTGGTGTTTTGCGCTGGTGTTGGCGTTGGTGTTGGTGCTGGTGTTGGGGCTGCTGCTGTTGTTGTTGTTGTTGTTGTTGTTGATGCTGGTGTTGTGGTGGTGTTGTGGTGGTGGTAGTGTTGTGGTGGTGGCGGTGGTTCTTGTTATAGTCGCGGTGTTTCTCGCTGTTGGTACTGCTTCACCCGTTTTTCAATCGCTTCAAGCGTGCAGGTAGAACATAATGCCCTGCATACAGGCAATGGCAGGGCAAGGACCACGAATGCAGACGCACTTGCAGCCAAGAGGAAGGCAGGCTTGCCGGGACGGTGTGTGGTGTTACATCGCACATCCTCACACGGTCTTACACATGATTTGTGTATGACAGTATATGACCATGTTAACAATTTACGGATATTGTATCATGTCCTTACACTGCCTGTGTCGCTTGTTTTTCGATGTTCTTTGCTGAAAAACTTCCTCTAGTCTGCCAATGATCATGAGTCTTACTACGGCATGCACGTGGATATCAGCGAGCATCCCTGTATGTACAAGATGTTGGTCAAGCCCTGGCCAAGTTTTATAACCCTCAACCCTCAACCCTCAACCCTAAACCCTAAACCCTAAACCCTAAACCCCTTACAAATCACCTGATAAGCTTCTTGTCAAAAGCCTGCAAAGCCCATAGTGCAAGCTCCAAAAGGTCCTAAACCAAACCCTGCTAAACCGCCTTCGAAGAAACGCACCCTAAACCCTAAACCGTTAAACCCCTCCCCAACCCTAAAATCCTAAAGCCCAAAACCCCCAACCCCCAAAACCCCAAAACCCCAAAACCCCAAACCCCCAAAAACCCAAGCCCTAATATCCTAAAGCCTTCAAATCCTAAACCCTACACCCCCAAACCCCAAACCCTCAAGTCCGAACCCTACATCTCTACACCAGGAGTACCAGAAGCTTCGAGCCGGCGAAGCAGCGCCGCAAGCCATCATCACCTGCATCGAGGCAGCCACGAAGCAGGATTTCCGAGATGGCATGCTTCTTGGCTTATATTTTGGGGCATTTGTTGATATTTATTGGGTAGGGTTTAGGGCGATTCTTGGCTCATGATTTAGGGACCCGAAACCCTAAGCCCTAAACCCTGTGAGATGGCATGATTCTAGGTTTGTGATTCAGGGATATTTGTGGTTCAGAGTTTAGGGTTAACGGCTTGTGAGCTAGGATTTAGGCGAGATGGCATGATTCTTGCTTCATGATTTGGGGTGTAGGGTTTCGGTTTTAGGGTTTAGGGTTTATGATTTAAGAGCAAACCCTGAACCCCGAAGCCCTGAACCGCAGGCTGGGGTTTAGGATGTAGGGTTTAGGGAAGGTGGGGCTACTGGCCTGGCATGAGGACAGGCATTAGGGTTCAGAGTGGGGGTTTTAGGCTTCGGGCTTTGGGGAATTTAGGGAGCTCATGGTTTCAGGGAGTTCTCAGGGTGTTGGGGAGTGCTTGAAGATGTAGTAGAGTTTTCAGGATTTGGAGGGGCTTTAGGGATTCCAAGTGGCGTTGTTAGAGGGAGGACGAGGTTCTAGGGTGTGCTAGTCTAAAAAGTCTTTAGTCAATTTCGTGATTCCAGGTGGTCGTTTATGATCCACGGTTTAGGGTTTGGTGGCGGATGGTACTAGATGAGATGTGGGCTTTGCGGGGTCTAGGGGTACAAGGTGTCAAAGTTTGGGGCACTAGGGAAACGTTTGTTTTGTATGCTGGAACTATTTTGTATTCTTAGCTGTCTAGAGAATCACCAAGGCAGTTGCGGTGTGCAGTTTATTCCCTTGATGGTCTTAGAGGTCCTAGAGAGGTACCTCTGGAATTATCAACACCCTTCTAAATCCCTGATAATTCCCTTCATGTGTATAGCGGTGTCGTCTAGTACACAAGTTACTACCTTGAACCACAAACCCTAAACCCTACCCTTAGAAAGCGCTCATACCCTGAAAGCATCAACTTGAAACGACCAAGTTGACAACCCAGGAATGTGGAGGGCATGGAGTTTGGCAACTTGGCCTAAACCGTGGTGACCGTTTAGGGTTTAGGGTTTAGGGTGTTAGGAGGGGTTTAGGGTTTGTGTGCTTGGCGTTTGGAGTTAAGGCATTGGGTTTAGGACTTCAGGTGTAGGATTCAAGCCCTAACTCCCAAAGCTTAAACCCTAAACGCTAAGCTTCAAACCCTGAGCCCCCTGAACCCGAAAGCCTTCTAAGCCTTAAGCACTAAACCCTAAAAACGCCCTAAACCCTAAACCCTAGACCTGAAAAAGCCCTAAAAAAACCCTAAAACCTATACCCTAAACCTTCGGGCTGTTGCGGGAAGTGTCGATTTGTCTCGCTGCTTCGCTTGCCACCACCATTCTAATCATTAAGGCCCCGACATTATATCCTTATAATACCCCTCAACCCTAAACCCTAAATGGTCACACGTATGTAAAAGGCCCGGTGGGTTTTCGCAATCAGCATATTAGTCGAATGTGCTTTTAACCCACGCCTGCCAGCAAATCTGAGCAACCCGCATTTATGCTTCTAAAAGTGACTATGTAGGATCATACTGCC